GTGCGGTATCTGGGAATTTCCAGATGATGATGAAATTTTGTTTGTAAATTCTAATTTGACCAGGTGAAGACAAGCCTAGGGTCAAATTATAATCTCTTTTTTCTACTCAAGATTAACATATTCTGAAAAAGCCAGTGCACGTTGGATCCCTACCTCTCTTTCTAATACATTTGTTTATTTCTTACTAGACTATGAGCAATACCTAAGCAGGAACTAAGCCTTTCTGTTTGCCTTATCCTCAGAACCCAGCACAATATATAGAACCTATAAGATGCTTAAATATTTGTTGAAAGGAAAAGACAAAAAAAAAGGAAAAGAAGAGAGGAGGGGAAGAAAGAGGAAATTTAAAAAATGGAGGAAGGAAGAAAAGAAGAAGGAAGGGAACAGAGAAGGAAGGAAAAAGGTTGGAGACCAGTTTCATTTGTGGAAAATTTGGGAATGTGACTAATTGGATCCCTCGTTTTAAGAAAATCTAAAGGGGAATATGGACTATTTTAATTGGCAAAGTTTCTAGATCATAATCAAATTCAGAATTAGGCATCTTAGAGCAATGATGGAAACAGAATTGTTTGAGCATCAGGCACTAAGTTCTCAGTATTGATAAGAGTTGCCCTAGATTTTGTTTTATGACACTTAAGGGGCTTCCTGCTGGGTTTCTGAAATGAAAATATTAAATTAATATCTTGGAAGACTATTCTAAGTTTGTAATTACTAATAATGTAGCTCAACATACCAAATGGGCATTAGCAAAACACTGAGGTGCTATTTATATTTTAATCGAATCATAGGTTTTGTCACAGTCTATCAACACAGTCTTCTTGTGTTCTTATTTTTTTTAACTGGGAAAAAATGGTTTGATAAAAGAGAGAACGATGTTATCTGTTGCTTTCAGAAAATTAAGCTCATTTAAAATTGTCAGAAATCCTGTTACTTTGGGTTTTTTTTGTTATTTTGTTTGTTTTTTGGTGTCTTCTTTCCAAAATAAAAATCTACTCAAAATATGGTTCTTTAAAATCAGTGAATTGGAAATGTATAAAGTCGTTCAGGCGCCACACTGAGGAAGCTAAGGAGGAGAGTTCTGTATCAGAAGTGCACACTCACCTGACCCTACGTGATTTTAATGGCCTCTCATATGTCACTTCTTTCCCTGTGACTTACATTTCCATCTGTAGATTGAGTAAATCTCTCGAGTTCAATTTCCAAGAACTTAGAATTGACTATCAATTAACTGAGTATCAATTAACTGCACTATCAATTAACTGCCCATCCCAGCTCCATTTTTCAAAGGCTGTCCTTGGGCAATAACTTAAACTCTCCAATCCTTATTTTCATCACCATAAAGTGGGCATTGTTATAGGACTTACTTCATGTGGTTTTTGAGAAAATTAAATGAGAAATTGCATATAAAACAGCAACAGTCACACAGAAATAACACTGATTTTTGTTGATGACCTCTGCCTGCTGGGAAATAATCTGTGACTTTAATATTTGACTAAATGAAGGAAAACTAACTTAGAAGCTCTCATTTTGTGACTACAAATGGTGGTACCTTCCCTTTTCCAGTGTAACTGATAAAAGGAGACAGATCCGAAGGCAGAAAACCTCATAACTTTAATCGTCGATGAACTACTTATTCCTACATTCTTGATATTTGTGCAGGAAAATGAGTGACTTATATACAAAGCTTGCAAAATGCACCAAGTAGACATTTTACAAATACAGTAAGCTCACCGAATGCTGAGCACTCTCTAGTTCCGTTGGCTGCCCAGAGGGCTATGCAACATGCCTCCAAGGGAAAGATGAAGTGCATCTATGAGATAAAGTTTAAAGAGCAACATATCAACAAGTACAAATCAATAGCCTATAAAATGAATGCTTAAGTGCTGAGGGGATTCTTTGCAAAGCTTTCTTCAAAGCAAAAGATAAACTAAAAGGGTAGTAGTAGTAGTGTGCATAAAGAAAAACAAAGAAGACCAAAATTCAATGACAGAGCACTAAAGGCCAGACCAACAAACAGGAATACAGGGTTTGTGAATGTTTGAGTTTCTTCTACTTTTTAAACATTTTATTTTTATCTTGTTTTGCTTTAAATTCATATACAATATTTTATCAATAGGTTCTGTATACCATACCCTATCCAGAACCTCTTCGAACATTGTCAAAAATCCATTGAAGTTTTTAAATTAACATTTTTAAGGTATAATTTACATATAATAAAACACATTCATTCAAAGTTCATTTTAAAAAGAATACAAGTTTCTCAAAAATAAAAATAGCATATATTTTTGAAAAGGCTTGGTTTCAGATTAGTCATACCAGTAATAAGCAGAGACTAAAAAAATAAAAGATGAGAAAATTAAAAAATTTGAACTATTTGGAAATCATACTGATTTTAGTAAAAAAATCACTCAACTTTTAAGATATTTCAAAAAGCATTTTAAAAGTATTTTAAAATCTGTACCTTTTGTTTTCATGTTGCTATTCAATAGCACATTTGAAGATAGAGAAGTAAAAATTGTATTTTGAGCATTTTTTTTTTCATTCTGAAAATTGGTATTAGAATAAAGTTTTAAACCAATATCATTGGATGAGTATTTCTAAGGAACACTTCATGGACTTCCTTTTCAGGAGAATGCATGCATTTAATTTTATAAATCCTCTTTGAGAAAATAAATGGAATAATAATACAAAAATTGTGTGAAGCAAGTTGTATAATAGTGTGTTCCACCCCCACCTCCCAAAAAAAAAATCTGTTAAATTGTGATGTAGATCACACAGGATTATATTGTGATGCCTAATACACCCATTTGGGAGATACTGACCAGAAATATTATCAGAATCTAATTAGTTGGATTTTCTGAACTATTTTGACTCAGTTAATGGGTTTTTGAGAAAGACTTAAGAATGATAGAAAATCATCACATCCAGTGGGAACTCTGCCTGAGTCAACTGTATGCCGGGTCACTGTACAGTTTAGGTCTGCCCTTGGTCTGTAGTGCTCTCACTGACAAGCCTCGTAAAATCCCATGGTCTGGCCACCATGAGATATGAAATAGCCAATAGTCTTGATTTGAGCTAATGTAGCTACCTTTCTTGGTCACAAATACATTTCAACAAATCAGAATAGGTAGTAATCTTTTTATGAGGAGAATCTGTATCTTTTCATTTTGTATCTGAGCACGTAATCACATACCTGGCACAACTGAGGTGCTCAATTGAAATTTGTAGAGGGGCAAGTAGGTTAATGGGTAAGTCAGCAATTAACAATCAATGGAAATGATCACTAGTGAGAAAAGAAAATACACAAACCCTACCCTTCAAAGAAGGGGTCAATGCATTTTTTCTGTCTAATGAAATAAAGCCATTTTAGAAAGAAAGTAGTTATACTGATTTAGTTATTTTCACTCTTTTATAGTAAGTGGCAGAACTAAATATGAGAACTCACCATAGGGCACAGCCGAGTGCTTCCAAAGTAAGCATCTTTCAAAAACTCCTCCACTGTAAAGTGAGGTAGCTTGGGGATCATTTATGAACACTTCCCTGTCATTTGGCACACCAGGATATGACTTCTTCCAGTATCCTGCATGACTGCTGAGAGATCAAAAAGGGTTACTGCTCCTGAAA